GCAGGAGTATACCTGCCGACCGCCGCCCTGCCTCCTTGTAGCTCCTTGAGCTACGTCTTGTTATTCAACCCGCCTGCCTGCCGTGCATTAGAACACGTAGTGAATTCAGTTATTACTTCTACCTACCTGCCCGAGCTAGCTAGGGCAATCCTGCCGCCCGAGACCGTGACATATACTATTACTAGTAACTATTAGAAAATATTAAAGGCTGCTTTTATAAAGTTTTTAATTTCCACTACTATAATCTATAAAAGCCTAAACCACCCGCCTATTTTATTAAACTAAAGGACCAGACTTTACCTACTTAACTAAACTACCGGAATATGTTACGGTAACTACCCGCAACACCTTACCCACTACAATTCGCCTATTACGTGGCTTCGTCACCTGATCTCGCACGGAGCTCGTGAGCTCGCGCCATACGCACGTCCCGCCGGTATATCTTCTTCGCCGGCGCTCCTAATTTCCTGTTCTTTACACAATGTCTTGATTCTCCACGTAGTATTGTACCTAGCACTTAATCAACGCTCCTTCTTGAGCCCTTAAACTCCTGCTTGTAGCGCTAGCGTGACATTACATTGTGTCCCTTCACCACCATGACGACCCCGAACGACCCGACTGCCATGCTTATGGAGCTGGTTTCTTCCATGAAGGAACAGCTTGCCGCAGCACAATCCTCGTTTGCAGGAGCCCTGCAGAACCAACAATCTGCCTTCACAGGAGCCCTACAGCGCCAACAATCTATCTTTACGGAAGAAATAGCAGTGCTACGAGAGGAAATATCAACGATCCGGTCCCAATCCTCTCCCCCTACACCGCCTACGCCCAACCAACAATCTACAGAGAACACCGTTCACGAATTGAACGATGGCTTAAAGCCTGTCGCCCCTACGAACCGTATACAGACCCCAACCATTGAGGTCACACCTCCCTCTTCTAATGCCTCCCCGATACATCCTGACCCGCCCACCTGGAAATCCGACCGATTAATCGACCCTCCAATGTTTAACGGCCGCCGAAAGGAACTCCCTAGCTTTATCCGAAGACTACAATACAAACTAGAAGGAAACGCGGACCGATACCCTACTAAACGAGCCCGCCTGCTATACGCGCACTCTCGTCTAGAGCATGACCCGTTAACGCTGATAGATCCTTTAATGGATCGGGGACATACAAACAGTAGAACAATTCATATTGTTTCTACAGGCTATGTACGGCGATCCTAACAAGGAACTTACTGCCCTGAGCAAACTCGACTCGCTGAAACAAGGAAAACGTAGCTTTGTTTCTCACTTCGCTGAATTCCGACGCCTTGCCGCCGACACGGGCCTCAACGAAATCGGTTTGATAACCCAACTCCGACGCTTATTATCGGACGAGCTACGTAGAGCTATGGTCGGTATTTATATTCCGGACAACATAAATAAATATGCCAACCTGATTTCTGCATACGATAACGATCTCCGATACCTACCGGCTAACCGTCCCTCTTGTTATTAACCCTCCGCTCGGAAGGACCTAAACGCGATGGAAATCGAGGCATTAGACTACGCCCCGGCTAGATCTGCCGAATAAGAAGAACGCCGCCGAAAGGGCCTCTACTATAAGTGTGGCAAGCATAGCTATATCTCCCGCGACTGCTCTGTACTGTTGCCACGAGTCCGATTATCTGGTCTAGATAGGCCCTCGAGTCCACGCACGTATGCATAAGCCTTAAGCCCGCCCCGGTCCTCACCCGCACGCCGTTTGTCTGTGTCCACGAACTCGTCCTCTAGCTCTAATTGTTCTAGAGGAAGACGCCAGTCCCGCACGAAGAAGCCGTTAAAAGCTCGGTCCCGGGCCTAAGTTGCCCCCCGGGACCATTCCAACCCCGGATTTCTGTGAATCTGTTCGAAGAACCTGTAGTTAACTCCTGGAAACGACAAATCCTTGCTCTATTTTCCCTGCAGCAAGGTTCTACATAATTAGATGCCCAAGCCCTAATTAACAGCGGAGCTACCGGTATAGGTTATATTTACAGATCTCTGGCGCGCGCATAGAACCTTTATCTTAACCCGCTACTAATTATCTTACGCCTAACTGGATTTAACGGAAAATAACTAAAAGAAGGAAAGATCACGCACTCTATACGCGTGACCCTCCGCCACCTGAACTATATAGAATTAATCCGTCTCTATATACTAGAGATTGGAAAACATAACCTAATACTAGGACAGCTATAGCTGTACAGGCACTGCGTTGGAATTAATTATAATAACCAACGGCTGCTCTTCCGCTCCTTCCGTTGCCAGGCTTGTTGCCTGCGTAAACCTGCCAACGTATTCTAATATAATAATAGTAAGGACCTATATCAGAAGGCTGTCACGGTGACGATGTATCGGGCATTTGAACGCGAGATAGACAAGTATCAGATTCAAAGAAGGATAACTACGTGCTATTACCGTGGTTGGTTACAAGGACGTTAAGATGCCGAATTGAATTCGGGACGGGAGCCAGGCTATATACAAGACGAGAAAAGGGGCTCGCACATAGCGCGTGGCCCTAACGGAATCGGGAATCAGGTGGCGGGCGCGTGGCGCACGCGTGCGCACGTATGCGGGAACAAGGTGTCAGGGGATTGATGCTTAGAGGGAGGCCATGATCAATACCGTGACAGCCCAAAGGCGACGATGCGAACATAATTTAGAAGTAGAAGGTATCCTAAAGGTTTAAAATTAGCTATAGTACACGACTGTCACGGTATTGATCATGGCCTCCCTCTAAGCATCAATCCCCTGACACCTTGTTGCCGCATACGTGCGCACGCGTGCGCCACGCGCCCGCCACCTGATTCCCAATTCTGTTAGGGCCACGCGCTATGTGCGAGCCCCTTCTCTCGTCCTGTATATAGCCTGGCTCCCGTCCCGAATTCAATTCGGCATCTTGACGTCTTGTAACCAACCACGGTAATAGCACGTAGTTATCCTTCTTTGAATCTGATACTTGTCTATCTCGCGTTCAAATGCCCGATACATCGTCACCGTGACAACGACTTATAAAGAAATATAGCAAAGCATAATATGCGCGGAGAGTTATAATCGCTTAAAGTCGAAGTACCCTTCGTATTTTCCGGCACGGTGGGTTTTCCGGTACGCAGGGGGGGACGTTATAGTCGATATGTAAGTTAAAGACGAGATGTGTGAGAAGTGGTAACGTCCCACCCTGTGTGGCGCAACACCCCCGGTGCCGCAACAAATTTATTGCTTCGGCATCTTGCTCTCTCCCTCGCGATCCAATCAAGTTATCGTTAGCCTACTATTATTCTTCAGACATTCCTCCCTAGGAAACTAGTGTGCAGCTAAAAAATTACGACGTTCTTGATTATACTGTCGATCATTCCTTTCAGAGCATCCGGAACGGCATTAGCTTTACACCCCTGCTGCACCATGGCTATCTCCCAAATTTCATATTTCGGAGTATTGAACCGATAGTTCTAGGATGAAAGAAGATGCCTCTAAGCTTTGAGGCAATAGGCTCTTGGAAACATACATTCCGGATTTATCCGTGCGAAGGGGTCCGGTGTGTGTCTTGGCATGAGGGTTTTAGCGCACTTACGTAGGGAGGTATTAGATATACTGTATTTTACGCTATGATTAAAATGCGGCGGTCTTCTAGAAACATCCATGAATGGTCACGTGCTGGCTATTTTTGGCAGCCGTTCCTTGTTGCCACCTGTTGCTACCTATCTACAATTGCTAGCGAATGCGGCTTCACCAAACGTGGTCGCAACATGGATTCTAATTTACCCACCCGTAAGTGGAAGCCTTGGCAATCCATCTTATGTACATATCCGATCAGCACCATTAGCCTAGGCACGTGATTTGTCACGGTACAGAAAGGTACCTCTCCACCACCGCTTGAGCTGACAAAGGTTATGGCCGGAGCGGTTCAGCCGTCCTCCCTACAAGCGTGATCGAGGCATTTGTTGATCTTGTCGCCTGTGAATTCGCCTTCCGCTGAAGCCTGACTGCTGCCTGTCAGCCTTGCCGCGCCACGCTGTCAACTCCGCCGCACCCCACCCAGCCTGAGGTCGCGCCAACTCCCTTCTTAACTTCCAAAACTAAGGACATGCTAAGGTACAGCAGAATCCGCTCGCAGCACTGTTTATATCTCGCTCGTAGATTTTATATCTTAGGTTAGCTTAACGTTCTATCTTCTAGCATGCTCGCTAACCTTCCTAGGCAGGACTCCAATTCCCAACGGATGTGGGAGTTGACCTGCTCGTCTCTTCTACTAGCTTGCTGCCTTAAGCTTCTAATATTCTCTTCTTATTAACATCTCCCTCCTTTAAGCAAGAAATACGTCTTTTAGCACTTAGCAACACTGGCAAAATCACCCTTACTAAGGATAATAATCCGATCCTACCCTATACAATCCTTTTATATACCTGGGAGAAGGGCTAGAAAGTTACCTTCTGTAATTTAATAGATAGCACCGGACTAGATAAGGTTAGCTATAATAAAATCTAGTTTTATAGATAATAGGCTAAATATAATAGCTTATAATACTTTTAGGTAGACACCTACTATATTAATAAGTCTAACCTAGTAGAGCTTTAGAGCGCTATTAATTCCATGTTTTACTAGTATTAGGGTGCAGAGAAATGCTATATTTTTCTTTCCGATGTCTTAATACTTAAGCGAAAAGCAGAGAATAATTCCTTTTAATATACTTAGGAGCGGGCTTTTTAGGAAAGCAGATAGTTTACCCAGGGCTGGACTTTCCAAGAGCTTCTTACGCTAATTTCGGTTAAATTCTTCTTCTAAAAATAGAAAAAGCTTAGCAATAAAAGATTGCTAGGGCAGCAAATCTGCAAAATTATAGGAATTCCTAATGCAGCGCTTAAAGGAGTATATTTATTATATTTTAGCGATAAAAAGCGATTTTTATAGATATAGTGCTATAAGGTAAAGGTTAAAAAAGATAAAGCGTATTCCCTGCTTAGTATTTTCGATATTAAAATGCCTTTTTACTACGGAAAAGGATCTATAAGTGCGTTTAAACGGCTTAAAAAGGAGATTAATAAGCTAAATAAATGCCTCTAAAACTTACGCTTAACTAATCCCTATAATAATAAGAAGCGTATTAAAGATATTAAGGGTGGTTTACTAGAGGACTTTTACTACTAGATTCTTAAAAATCCTAACTTCTAATAATAGCGTAATAACTAACAGAGTTACCTGCTATAGATTAAGGGTAATTCTAGTAAGGGTAAGATAATACTTCTCTGCGGTATTATTAACAAGTTAAAAAAGTTAATAGCTAAGATAAATCTCCTATTCTACTTTTTCTATTAGGCTATAGACTTATAAATTAATAATACTACAGCGGTGCTATAAGGTCTGCTATACTTACTTACTAATTAGCAGCTATTGCTTATATTATATATATAGAAGAAGTATAACTATATAAATAAGGCGCTTTTTAAAGATATAAATACCTAGGTTGCCTTATCCGAAATATTTATAGATATCCTGCAAGACCTAAACTTAAATAATTCCTACCTAATTATTAATACGCTTAATAAATATATAGCAGACTTACTAAAACTGCTAGACTTTATTATCTAGAAATCTCCTATACTATTTTAAGTTAAGTAAATTATTTCTAGCCGCAACTGGCCTAATATTAAGGAACGGCTAGAAAGTGCAGGGTATAAGGTAAGGCTATACCTTAAGCTTAATGCAGATTCTATTTCTATAGCTATTTATATATTTATCTATTATAAAGTATCTTAGCTAGCAGAGCGAAAGAAATATAATAATAATATACGAAATATAGTATTAGACTATCTATACTTAAATACAAATAACACCTTCCTCTAGGTAGCTTTAGTCTGCGAAAAGCTCTAAAAAATCCCCCGGCGGAATACTTTTATAAGGCTAAACGCGTTTCTACCTGGACTTAACCCTTTTTATAAGCGAATAATAGAGTAAATATATAGTTTAGATAATACTAACCTCTATAAGTAGATACTTGCCTTAGTTGTAATTATATACTAACCTATTAGACTTAAAGAGCTAACAGCGCTTATTAAAATACTTAAGAATATAGTTAATAATCTAGAGTTATTAGTAGAGATTATTAGCTAGTATAGTTTATTTCTTAGTATTTAAAAAGGTATTATCTACTTTATATATTAGTCTATAAAAGACTTTCTACTTATAAAAGCTATTAGTTAAATCTTTCTATCTAGAATAGAGGAGGTCTACTATACTATTTTCTTAAGATTAATTAAGGTTATAACTAAAACGCTTTAATAAGATATATACAACCTTAGTTTATTAGAATATTCTGCTAAGCAGGTTATATAACTAGATTTAGACCTATTAGCAGTATTACGCTACTTATATATCTACTAGGTCGATTATCTTTACAACTTAAATTTTATATCTTTAGCAAGCTATAATAATATATTATATAATAGAGGCGTTGTTAATATATTTTTATAGAAAAAGTTTCTCTACTAGCTAGAAGCTTTTAGTCTATATAAAAGTATACTAAAGAGTGTTATTTTAGTAGAGAAACTCTAGTTATTAATTTAAGTAGGTTATAAATAATTACTATAGTTTAGATAATCTTTATACTAATATAAGGTAGAGAAAAGGAGATATAAATATATTTACTAAGCTTATTAAGAACGCGTATTAGTTTATTATATATTATAAGAAAGCTATTAAGTATAGCGCTCTCTAGGCCTATATATCTGCACTATTATTTAGTCTAATAAAGAGTTGGATAAGAAGGCATTTCCAGTATAAAGAGCCAGATTAGCTTATAATTAAGCTAGTAATAGGCAACGGCTGGAGCGCATGCCTACAGACGCTCGAGGGCTATAGCGGTTTGGTTAACTCAGTGGCCTTCTCTCACGACTCAACGCGGCTGGCGTCTGCGTCACACGACAAGACAGTCAAGATCTGGGATGCGAGCAGTGGCGAGTGCCTGCAGACGCTCGAGGGCCATAGCGGTTGGGTCAGGTCAGTGGCCTTCTCTCACGACTCAACGCGGCTGGCGTCTGCGTCAGACGACAAGACAGTCAAGATCTGGGATGCGAGCAGTGGCGAGTGCCTGCAGACGCTCGAGGGCCATAGCGATTGGGTCAGGTCAGTGGCCTTCTCTCACGACTCAACGCGGCTGGCGTCTGCGTCAGACGACAAGACAGTCAAGATCTGGGATGCGAGCAGTGGCGAGTGCCTGCAGACGCTCGAGGGCCATAGCGGTTCGGTCAACTCAATGGCCTTCTCTCACGACTCAACGCGGCTGGCGTCTGCGTCACACGACAAGACAGTTAAGATCTGGGATGCGAGCAGTGGCGAGTGCCTGCAGACGCTCGAGGGCCATAGCGGTTGGGTCAGCTCAGTGGCCTTCTCTCACGACTCAACGCGGCTGGCGTCTGCGTTATACGACTCCACAGTTAAGATCTGGGATGCGAGCAGCGGCGCGTGCCTGCAGACGGTTGACGTTGGCAATGCGCTTAGCAACATATTATTTGACACTACTGGCTTGTATCTTCACACTAATATTGGTACTATTAGTGTTAGTACAGCACTATTACTTCCAAGTACTGCACTATCTATTATAGAGTCTCGGAAGCCGAGATATTAAGGCCTAGCATTAAGTTTAGATAGGGTATAGATAATATATAACTCTAAAAAGTTAGTATAGCTGCTATTAAAGTATCGGCTATTATATTTAGTAGTATTAGGGAAGAAAATCGGCATTAGTGTTAGAACTAGAAGAGTCTAGATATATAAAACTTTGCTTAATATAGCCTAGTAAAAGCGTTTATAAAGAGTTAACTTATTATTCTTATTTTCTTTTTTATTTCTATTTTATAGAAGGGCCAGGGATTAAGGTAAATATATAGCTTCCTAATTTACTACTATAAATCTTTAAGTATTTTCTAATCGGCTAACTTATATAGTTACCCCCCCTGCTTAGGTTAAACACCTCCGTGTATAATAAGGGGGGTATTACTATACACCGAAGCTTTAAGAGCCCTTACTAACTTATATATAATTCTTAATACAGCTATACTTTTAAATATTAGCAAAATAATATTTTCCACCCCTCTACGCTATTTTAATCGTAATAAACGCCTATATATCCACGCGCTCTATAAAGCCAGCCTTTTAGTGCGCAGGATTTCTTAATAGCTTAGTATATTAAAATCTATAGTTGCTTATATTATTTATAGTCCTATTACTCTAATAAAGCCTTGCTATTATCCTTAATAATAGCCCTATCTAGATATACTAACTCGACATCGATTAATCCTCTATATAATACTAAATAAGCTCTAGTAGAGGAAGCCTTTAAGGCGGATTACTAATAAGCTTAGAATTCCTATAGTAAATAATAAGGTACTTATAGAAGCCTTTTATAAAAAGGGCTACTTCTAGAGAAAGGCCTAGAAAAAGCCCTAGCTTACCTAAGTATATAAGAACGCTTAACTAAAATAGGCCTATAAGCACCTAGAATAGATATAAAGTAAATAGAACTAAGTATACTAGACTAATAAGGTATTCTTTTATATAGATTAGGGTGATTTTTAGGTAATAAAAAAACTAGGAGAACGCTTTTATCCGCACTGTATAGCCTCTAGATTTCGAGGCTATTTAGAATAAATAGTTTAGAGTGCTATTTCTTTAAAAGTAAAGGGGCTCTTAGTATTTTTTAAGAAGAACTAGGGCTCTATTAATAACTAGGTCTATTAAAAAAAGATTCTTCCTTATATTCTAGAGTATTAAGAGAAGTATAAGCGGTATATTATTAGTAAAGGAAATCTTTTTTTTATAGAAGATAGGAATAGGATTTATATAGCTAAGGTAGTAAAAAAGGAATAAAGGTGGTATAGCTTAAATAGGATATAGTTTCCAGCTAATTTACCGGATTTAAACCCTATTAAAAATATCTAGAAGAAGCTAAAGTAAGCTATAGCTAAAAAAAGGCCTTCTATATAAAAGAAGCTAAGAAGGCTCCTTTAAAAAAAATAGGAGAAGATTAATTTTAACTAGATTTAAGCGCTTATATACTCTATAAATAATTAGTACAGGGCTGTAATTAAGGCCTAGAGGGGGCCTATAAAGTAGTGAATATATATACCTTTATAATTCTGGGCATTGAAATATATGTAAAATTGTATGTAAGCGAGTGCTAGGCCTTTAACTTAGATTCCCTATTATATATAGAGTTATCCAACCTAAGCAGAAGGGGTAACTATAGAAACACGTGTTGCAGTTTTACTACTTAAACGTTAGTAAATATAGATAAACGTATCTATAACGCTAGTAGAAAGAACGGCTAACCTGCTCCGGCTATACTTATAGGGTTTATTATAAATAGCTTAAGTTATAGTAGAGAAGCACCTTTTTATACTATAGCTAATTACGTGCTTAGGCTAATAATACCTAATATAAGGTGGGTACTAAGGCCCTAATTAGCTATACTTAGCTATAAGCTTAGCTTACTAGATAATATAAGTAAATTACATCGTGATAATTATATAAAACGGGTGGAGTCGCTTTATACTACCTAGAACTAGTAAGTACTTTAATTAGAAGTACCGACTAGGGTGGCGACCTTATATAAATTTGCATGCGATAGTAGCTATAAGGCTAATGCCGATTTCTTAATATAGTAGTAATATTTTAAAGTTCGAATAAGGCCCTTTTATAAGCATTAGAAGTAATAGGAGCTTAATAGTAGTGCTGTGGCGATGGAACTCGGTTACGCCATAAAAGAAGGCTATCCGCAAATCAGGCGCGAAGGCGACGATGCGAACGTAATATTTCCGTGGGAAAGGTTCCAAGGGCTATAGAATGGCTACAGCATATAACTTATTTAGAATTATAGGATATATCGATGTATGCAAAGAGCTTAGGTTGTTTAAAGTTAATATACCCCTTATATATTGCGGTATAGTAGGTGTTACGCCACCTAGGGACGGACGTTACGCTTTAACTTATCTTATAATAACTAACTAAGCATAAATTGCAGTAAGGTGTATTAAAAAGGGAGGGAGGGGATACTTAATAGTTTATATCACGTTATAGAAGAGAATAGAGAGAGAAAGCTTTTAACAGAATTGCTTATACTAACTTAAGCACGCTAAGGCCTGATTTATAGATCTAGATCTAGAATACTTAATTTGCGACCTAGTAAGCTTTATAGGCTTCGTTATAAGCTTAGTAGGCTTCCTTATAAGCTTAGTAAGCTTCTTTAAATTCCGACGACAGCTTTAGTACCCTTTGCCATAATATTTCTAGCTCCGTATAAACGCTATCTAAGCTATTAAGGTTCTTGTTCTTGCACGCTTTCGTTATAAGTCGAGATATTTTCCCAAGAATTTCCTTTTGCTTATGCAATAGCAATAATCTTTTTTCATCTGCCGGCGGATTATCAGACAGAGGATCTATTCCAGTATTGCTTAATATTTTAGAAGTTGCGTTTCTTTATTAGATCGATAAGGGCTTCTTATACTATAAGCAAGGGCTGTTTTCTTAGACCCTTAATTACTAGGCCCTGCCCGACTATATAATAGGTTTATTTATACGTACATAACTACTCCTAACTTATAATCCTGCCTTATGAAAGCCGAGAGAAGCATAACTGTGGTAACGTCCCCCCCTGGTGGCGCAGCACCCCCCGTGCCGCAAGAAATGTATTGTTTAGGTATCTCGCTCTTTCCCTCGCGATTCGATCAAATTGTAGTAAGTCTATTATTATTCTTTAGACATTTCTCCTCGCGAAACTAGTGTGCAGCTAAAAAATTACAATGTTCTTAATTATACTGTCGATTATTCCTTTAAGAGCATCCAGAACGGCAGTAGCTTTACACCCCTACTGCACCATAACTATCTCCTAAATTTCATATTCCGGAGCATTGAACCGATAGTTCTAGAATAGAAGAAGATAACTGTAAGCTTTGAAGTAGTAAATTTTAAGAAATATACATTCCGGATTTATCCGGGAGTCCGCAGTGTGTCTCGGTATAAGAGTTGCGCGCTTACGTGGGGAGGTATTAGACATTTACTGTATTTTATGCTTTGCTTGAATTGAACTTTATGCTCTTTCCTATATAACCTGCGGAACTCCTAGCGTAAGATTACTCTAAAGGGCCGTTACTAGCTTGACTTCACTTAAATAATCAGCGTGCGGGGCAGCCCTACTTCGTCTTCCTGTCGCCTTTATACACACCCCTGCGATTTATCGAGTTGCATATATTAATCGAGATGGCGTCGTTTGAAGAACCACAAACAACATGTCAAAGTCCAGCAAAGTAAATATCCCAACTATTAGGGTGACCGATGTCGACGGGAAGGTGACCAAGTGGACATGGAAAGGCTTTCGCAGTTGCATGTGTTGCTTTTAAACCCAGCTATATATCACAGCCAAATCTATAACATCCCTCCCTACGTCCCCGGACGCACCCCGTGACCGGACAAACCATAGGTACCTTATCTTTACACCTATTTTGACTTCGCAAATAAATCTATATCTATATCGGTCTATAAAGATCTTTTGTATCAGTTACTCCTAAGCCCCTCTAACTTCTCCTATCTCAAAATTACATTTATGCTGTCGCCTCGCCTCTCGATTAGTGGAGAGCGTTTTCTTAGAGCGTAATACGATCTACGTACTATAGCTCCACCACGAAGACTATATTATTCCTAGTACGGATTAAAAAGGCAATATCCGAACCTAAGAACTATGCTATTATACTAAGAAGTCGTCCTTAGCCCTATGGCTGCTGTGGAATACAAACTCATGCAACGTCGCCACCCCTGTCGGTACCTCCAATCAACAAGATTACGAGTCCAAATCATCTTTTTTCATGTTTCTTGCGCTTAGAGGCTCGCGTTGCGTGAAGTTCGCCATGGACAGAGTATGGACGTATATAAGATGGCTGGTAACCGTGGTTCTGGCCTTATATATATCGGTTTCCCGTGTCGCAATAAGCTCAGGCGCAGCTAGGCAGCAACATTCCGCTTATATCTTTCGCTTGGCACATAAGCTTTTGCACTAGTGAGGTGGGCGACGGCGAGCTAGGCCTTTCAAACCGCAAAGCCCTCTTTCTACTCTGCGATGCCCCTCGTCTTTAAAACTCTTATGCTAAGTCATCCACCACAACACATCTTACGACTTTCTGGCGACGAATCTGCGCAATAGAACACAATCTGCGGAAGGTCTGAGGCTTTATGAATCCTCGGAGTTTGTAGAGACTCGAGCCTTATTGCTTTGCATTGGCCATCCTTCAAACGACCAAAAGTAATTGAGCCATAATGCGCCTGTAGCTCGTTCCGAAATCTTTCTATAGATTCTCTTGTGTTGCTTACAATGCTATACGTCTTGGTTGAATAATTGAAGAAAATAAGTTGGTCCCTGCCGCATTCGTTATTGATCTCATATAACGTTTTGTGGTTATAATACTGTGTGTTCGGTCTCTGGGATGCTTCATGGCCGCCAGACACACTGTGCGGTGTTTTTAGACTGACTCTGAGAGAAGTTTCTGCCATAAGCACCGAATGGGGGGAGTATTGAGATGGTGAATCGAGCTCAAGATCAACATTCTCCCAGTATCCAGGATTAGGAATTGACTCTACGCGAAATGTGATTAAGAAAACCATTCTCTTAATAGCAAAAGGGGTCAGGCCCTGTAATAGTTTGTGGCTTCCGGCATAGAAGTTTGGTAGGTAGAGAAATTTCCTTTCCGTCTCCTCTAATAGTTGGTACAGCTGACCGATGCGCTTAGCCGGAGCGATACCTCTATCGTCTGTTCCTAATTTTGGCATAGTTGATTGCGTGAAATGCTCCTTCGGGCGGAACACGTTGAGTCTCTCTCTTTGTGTCAGTGCCTCTTGCTCAAGCACTTCCTCATCAACCGCAAAAAGGGTCGCTGGCCTACGAGCTCGAATTCTTTCGCGAATGTCTATGAGTTCAGCATCCCCATTGCTAAGTCGTTGAATTTCTAATGAGTCGAAGCCTAAGCTTATAGCTAGCTTTGCTAACCTGGCCCAGTATAGAGTATTTCCTCCACGATCCAAAGTCTCCCCTTTCTTTATAGGTGGATTCGTACGAAGTAAAACAAGGCATAGCTGCAAGTAGCCATACTTCATACGATTATGTTCATCGCCAGGTATATAACGCTGATCCCCGTTTCCGTACTTAACTAGGTAGTTTTCCTCGCCTTTATATATGCCCCTATAGCACTCAAAGATAGTGGATCGAAGTAAGTCTTTTACTTTAGGGAAGATGTTCCGAAGCCTGTTATAAATGGGAAGCATACATCTAATATTCTTAAAAAGGGGTTGGAAGGTGAGGATCATGCCGTCCAAGGATGTTATCGCAGAAAGAATTCGAGATCGGACTGCAGAATCGTTCACGCTAGGAAAGATTAGGTTAGAACGCATTAATGTCAATACAAGCTCTCGATCCTCAAGGCAACCATTCGGCGCTAGACACTGCAGCTTCTGCACTGTGAGTTCATTGACGGCATCCTGCAAGTTCTTATCGCCTAAAGTTATAGTGTACCATATATAGGCAATTTCATCCAGGTAGTTAGAGATCTCCTGCTATTGATTAGATAAAAATGTAATTTTAAAGGGAAACGCATACCTCTTTACATCTCCAACTTAAAATTTCAAGTAAAGACCCAATCGGAAAGGTTTGCCACAATCCTCGATAAGGGGAAAGGTTATCGAGCCTCTCGGAAAGCCAATCGTTCTTTTGAATTCGTTTCAAAGTTTTCTTTTAGCGGAGTGTTAGACGCTCATGCCAACGACTCGCCTCGCTTTTATTCCTAGCACGCTAGTAGTGGCGAATCTGCAAGTACTTTTCACCGTTACAACGGTCGTGTGAGTTGATATACTCCGCTCGAAAGCTATCTTCAAGCTCTTTGGTGATTCCTATGCGAGTGTTGAGAGCCCAGTAGCAGAGCAGAGAGAGAAAAGGGGCCTGTTTTACGGTATATGTAAATATCGATAGTCCACCATCGATGTTTTGGCTTTCCCAACACTTCCATTGCGGCAGCGATACGGTGCTGACCAAGCATACAGCTCACCCTCTTATTGGGTGGAAGTTTGAGCATGGGAAATGGTTTCTGAAAGAGTGCTGTGGCCGATTCACCTGACGAAACCAATGCTTCGTCTAGGTCTTGTTGACTAAGTAGTCCAGGAATACGATTCTGGGGATCGAGGCTGTCGCAGCCAAGCTCTTGAAAGACTCCCACTAATCTTTTAACATTGCTGACATCTAGCACACGCCGCAGGGAGTTGAACTCTAGACTCTCTAGGTTTATCCGCGCCGTTCCGCGGAAGGAAGACTCAGCTGTAGCCATCTCGGATGCGAAACAAGTCGTGGTGCACACCTATGTTTAATGTAAGTATAGGTGAACCGTAGTAAAGAGCACCCGGTGATGTAACGACGGGCCTCAACATTCTGCTGAGCTACTTAAACCCAAGGATATTATGTTTTCTATCTCTCTCCAACATCTATACATTCAGTAATGGTCTCATATCGGAAGGTGGACCTACTTCACATTTGTCAAGACAAAACAGAATGGTCGCTAATACAGGGATCCCAATTAGATGCGCTTGTCAAGTTTTTAGGAGATTCCTACCATCAGTATCCATCTTTGGTTCTTTTAATTGGACGAGAAGCCAAAGAAAGAGCCCTTAGACAATTTTTTCCAGAAAACAACCATACACGTCGTCGACGAGATGCTGGTCTGGCCAACATCAGCGTGGATTCTCGTACAGTTTTTTTCGAAAACGCCGATTCTTTTTGGAGACATTGACATAGACTTAGTATCTCGGTCACCGTCGTCAAGACGCCCTGTGGGCAAAAGCAACCGTGAGAGTTAATAATAATAATAATAATATATTCTTTACGCTGTTATAGCTCCCTTACGGGTCCATGCAGCGGCATCTATTTAGGCTATTGTACAAGGGAAAACTGTGCTTCGCGATAGCTCGCGAAGCCAGGTGAAAACCCCGCGTCTCCTTTGACGTAGGCGGCGCAAAGCGCCTCTACTGGGTGTGGGTCCGCTGCTCAGAGTAGACGTCGCCTGGACGCTACAGACACTGCCATCTGATTGCTCACTTCGTGGTCCTTTAGCGGAGTCGATCCGGGTTGCTCGGGGTCGGGTCCGGGGCGCCGCGGGCGCGGTTTGTCGTCCAAGAGGTTATTGCACAGGCGGCGACGTGTCGCCCATCAAGGCTGTTCTAGAAGGTTAGTATGTTAGGAGGTGGGTGGGAGAGGAGATGGCTAGGCCCCGATGGGTTATAGTGTGTGGGTTCCGCTGGAGAGGGTTGCTTTGGTAGGGAATAACGCTTTAGTGGAGAGGGTGTCGCTATATTCAACTATAGTGGCCAATCTAGCTGCTATAGTTAAATGTAGTTCGTTTGGGCTCTATTTGTCACGTGGGGGTCGCACGTAATAGCCTGGTTGCTGGTTGCATCGAGCGGGTTGGCTATGTCGGCCGTGTTAAGCTCTTGCTATCTCTCTTGCCGATGAGAGGTATGGGAGGAGATCTGTGGCTAGAAACCAGCCTGCTACTGATTGGAGTCCTTTTGTGGTAGAGAGTAGCTCGCCGTACGCGGCTGTGCCCGCCCGAATATACATCCGTCCCCTCCCTTCCTTGTATAGGGGGCATTGGGTTACCACGTGTCTTCCTGTCTGCTCCTGGTGGCCGCACGGGCAGGCCGCCGTATGGTGGCCCGGCACCCGCATTCGTTTAAGGTAGGCATTAAGGCCTATATGCTCCGTCCTGAGGAGGGTTGCGATCGTGCTCTCTACCTTGCTCAGCCCGTGGTGTCTCTTGTATAGCTTCTTGTTCCACGGGGTATCCAGGGCCGGCGTTAGGGCCGGCCTCGACCTCCTGTAGGCCTCCCACTGCTTTTCCCACTTCTCTTCGTATGCCTTCTGGATCAGGGCTTGGCGCTCTTTTTCTATCGCCTTTGCCAACCGCTCCGGGTCAACTTGTTCAGGGCCTGCGTGTTTCATAGCATGGCGGTGTAGAATGTCGCGTCTCGTGGGGCCGGCTTTTGCCTTCGCCGACGTGCGCCTTTTGGTGTCGAGGATGTGGCTCCTGATCTTGCTGCATTCGCTGTTGATGAGCTTCCTCACTGGCCCCGCCCTCGTCCTGTTCGCATAGGCCACCGTGAGCTCTTCCAGCTTCAACTTTATCGGCGGCGTGCTGGTTTCGTGCTCTAGGACCGGAATGTTGGTTGATCTGTACCCTCCGGCTATGTATCGCAAGCACGTGTTCTGCGACGTAGCTAGGTCCTGGTGTTGCTTCTTTGACAGCTTCTCCATATGGGGCCCCTCTGGCCCCGGGTACCATGCGTTACAGCCGTACGTTAGGGCCGGCCGCACTACCGCTGAGTATATCGTTTTGGCCTTCTGAAAGGAGGCTCCCCATGTGGAGGCCGTGAGCCTCGTAAGAGCCGCCATTTGATTGACTGCTTTGGCTTTTGTAGTTTTAATATGTGGTGCCCATTTGAGTCTGGAGTCTACCTGCACACCGAGGACCCGCAGCTCTTTTACAGGCCCCTCCGTGAACTTTTCGATGTTAACCGTTGCTTGTAGGTTGAACTTCCTGCACCGAGTAAAGTGGATTAGGTGGTACTTTTCCGGGGCGAAAATCACCCCGTGCTTCCCTGCCCATTCCATGCATACCTTGTGCGCCTGCTCAAGGGCCTTGCAGTTTTCTTCCGTGCTCTGGCTGTACGTGAGTATGTTCGTGTCGTCAACGAACCCGAACGCCGACGTGGTATTGTTACCCTGGCTCAGCAGCGGGAGGAGCGTGCTGGCAAAGAAGAGGAATAGGATTGGTGACAGGGCGGAGCCCTGTGGTATACCCGATTTGACGCCCCTGAATTCAGAGAGGAAGCCCCCGAACGACAGCTTCGTGGTCCTGTCCCTGAGGAACGACTTCGTGAACGTGGCAATCCACTCCGGTACCCCTTTTAGCCGCATGTTATGCAGCAGCCTCTCGTGCGAGACCCTGTCGAAGGCCCCTGAGATGTCCAAGCTGAGCATTGAGGCCACTCTCTTAGAGTCGTTCTTCCAGATTGTCCTAACCTGTTCTGTAAGGAGTTCTAGAGCTGTCTGCGTGGATCGGCCCGGTCGGGCTCCCATCTGGCTGTCTGGTAGCATGCCTTCCCTCTCGGCCACCTCCGATAGCCTTTTAGCCACGATGCGCTCCAAGAGCTTTCCAATGGTGTCGAGCAGCGCGATTGGTCTGTATGCTTTGGCCACGGAGTAGGATGGCTTCTGGGGCTTTCTGAGGACGACGGTAATCGATTCCTTGAACGCCTTCGGGTGATGGCCCATCCTGATGCAGCTGCTGAACAGTCGCGCCAGCGTGGGTGCGAGCTGCTGTCCGCACTGCTTTAGGAACCTGTTAGTAATCTTCTTTGGCCCCGGGGCCTTGTCCGGTGCCAGGCCCCGCAGAGCCGCAATGATGTCCTTCTCTTTGACTTCTTCCTTCGCCGAGTAGGGGGTTCCGTATGCACACCCCTCAATGTCCGAGAGGTCTACGTCCGCAGGAGGGGGCCAGAATGATTCGGCTAGGATAGCTGCCTTGGTTGCGTTGTCTTCATGTCGTACTACTTCGCCTGGTCGACTTAGCGGCGGGAGGTGTGGTGGTGCCCTGATTTCTGTGTTTGCTGTTTTTGCCCACCTCGCCATCCTCCACATTAAGGAGGGCTTCTCCGTTGTTTCCTCCACTATCTGACGCCAAGCCCTTCTGCCTTCACGCCGTATGGCGTTCTTTTTCCTGTTGCAGCAGGTCCTGTACGTTATCCAGTCTGCTTCGTCTCCTGTCCTCGTCCACTGCCGGCGTGCCCTCCGAGTTTCTAGCACCATCTCTGTGCATTCGTCCGACCACGCCCTTCGCGCTTGCTTCGACGGCCGTGCTTCCGGCACTGTGGCTTTGATTGTGTCTAGGCAGGCCTTGTGGATCTGTTCGGTAAGAAGGTCTAGCTCACTCGTATTCTGTGGCTGCGGCCCCTCCAGGGTCCGCAGCCGTTGGACGAGGTCCTCGCGTACCTTCTCCCACTCTGCCTTCTTCCACAGCGGCCTGCCTGGGGGTTCCATCGCCTCCGGGGGTTGGATGTCGAACTCCGTGAGCACCGGCCAGTGGTCGGAGTCCGTATGCCAGCTGTCCTTAATCTGGCATTGTAGCACCCGTTCCGTCAACCATCTTGACGTGAAGGCGAGGTCAATGGTGGTCCTCTGGTGGTTCCTTCGCCACGTTTCGATGCCTCTTTCTGTGGTCAGCTGCAGTCCTGCTGCCCGGGTCACTCTAACCAGCTCTGCTGCTTCGTCTTCCACCGCGACAACTCTCTCTCCGCCCCACAGGGGGTGATGGAGGTTAAAGTCGCCTACGAGCATGTGCTCGTGCCCCGGGGTAAACAGCCCCGGGAGCTCCGCCGTGTGCCCTCTCGGCTGGGGGTTATACAGGTTGTGGATCTGCACGGTGCGGTCCTGTAGCCGCAGGAGTAACGTGCATAGGTCCTTTGAGTGTACCTGGATTTCCCAGTCGGAGAGGGCTATCTCTTTGTTGATGTAGAAGCATGTGCGTACATCCGGGATGTCCGCATGTGCTAAGTAGTAGGAGGGTGTTGCCGTAGTAGTGTTTCTGCTTTGAGGTCGCCATGGTTCCTGGATTGCTATTACCATTGGCCTGTCCTCCGTCTCTTCCATTCTCCGGAGGAACTCTACCAGGACAGTGTCCCGGGACGCGTGGGCGTTGTATTGCACTATGGTGATTGTTTTCCGGTGTGTTGGCATTACAACTCCATACTGGAGGCCTCCGATTCAGCATCTGTCCCGCTAGAGGTGCCCGAGCTGATCAACTCCTGCATGGCGTTGTCATCCAGCGTGATTGGCCCCTGCGTGGCCCCTTGAGGGCGTAGCATGGTGACGATCTTTGGCTGGTTCTGCATTTCCTTTGCCACTGCGAACGCTGGCGGACGCCCCGGCCCTGCTCGCCTCTGGCTCGGCAGTTCTATTGACACCTCTCTCCCCCTCTTCCTTGACGCCTGAGGGACGTTCTTTTGTACAATAATTGGGGTGGGCCCCTCGGCACCAGGCACCCCTCTCCCGTCCCCCTCAAAGAATTGTCCTAGGGAGTGTTTGACGTTAAACGCCTTTTGGTGTGCCTGGCTGCGTACGCTGCAGTTGGCGCTCCACGCTGGGTGCTCCATCTTGCAGTTGGCGCACTTCCTCGCCTCCGACTCGCAGTCTCTTGTGTCGTGGCTTCCTGCACACGCTCCGCAGCGAGGGTCACGTCTGCAGTGCGTGGAGATGTGTCCATAGCTCTGGCACTTGTAGCATTGTGTGGCCCTGCACGCTGCCTCGTATCGCTCCACTGTGTGTAGGATTCCTCCAATAACGATGCCCCTCTCTATGAGCCTATTCGCCGTGCACGCCGTGTTGATGCTTAGGATGGCAGAGGAGTGTTTCTTGTGGTGGGTTAGTATTGCCCTCTTGTTCTTCCACGCGGCCTTCGTTATTCTGAGGCCCTCGATATGGCCGTTCTCGATTTCCACCTCCTCCACCCAGCTCAGGGTGCCCACTTCTTGTCGTGCACTCACCATGCGCACTTCGACCATTGTAGGTGGCTTTACCACGGAGGCAGACTTGCCCAGGACCTGCACCCAGGCCGTCTTCTCCATCAACTTCTCCTTGTTCGCCTCCGTGTCGACTGTGATACGAGCATCGCCGCTCTCGAGCGGCAGACAGGCGCGAATTGCCCCTGTGTCTGGCGGTCCAGCGGCCTGTAGCTGGGCCACCAGCTCACGGGCGGACTTGTTCTTCATCGCTGCTTTATCTTCCGCGTCTTCAACGCGCACAACCAGCTGGGGGCCTCCCACCGGCCGGCCTCTTGCTGCAAGGCCTGCCCCTGCTGCCGTCCCATTGCCCGATGCTGCAATGCTTGCCCAGGAGGGCTTATTTCCTGGTACCGGGGGGGGCACCTTGTTCTTCAGAGCACGGAGCTCGCGCAGCACCTCGTCCTGCCATTTTCCATCTCTTTCCTGATCGACCGCGTGTCGGAGGTTCGTCGTCGTCCGTTGGAGGAAGGGCTCGAGCCCGTTGAGGAAGGTGAGGAGAGCAGCCTCATCGCAGGAGGGGGAGGAAAGCAGTGTTCGGAGCGTCTTCGAGATGGTGGCTGTTTCTTTAATGCCATCGAGCAGCTCGCTCGTGTAGAGGGTGTCCTTCTGGACGGGTTTGTTGTTGTTGTTGTTTTGATGGGAGCGGGCGGACGCGTCGAGCGACGCGCCTGCACCACCGCCACCGGGAGTTTGTGCACTCTGTGGATGGTGCTGAGAGCTGAAGAGGCCATTAGGAGCCCCTTGGGACTCTTTCTGGCCTTCCGTTTGAGGTTCCTGGCTGCTTTGCGGCATGATTGTTGATCCCGTGAGAGTTATAGACAGAGAATTGAATGGATAGAAGACACTGCGAGCGTTGACGAAGGAGAGATATTAGACACCATCTTCGCTCGCCTTCTCTTTCTATTCGCCGATGTTATTTGCTTATTTGTCGAAGATTTTGATGGTATATCAAATGCCATTCGACAGCTCCAGCGATGGGCAGCAAAGGGGTCAGCTTCAGACTGAAGGCCCCAACTCAGGTTGAAATTGATGTGAACTCTGATTTCTATAGACGTCTAGCTAGTTGTATATATACTAGGGGAAGGAAGGGGGCCACCCCCAGGGTGGCGCGCTAGTAAGTTCAGATGAGCCCTGCACAGCTGAGGCTTCAGCTCGGTTCTCTACAGCTGAGATTTCAGCTGGGTTCTCTACAGCTGATGTTCGGAGAGTAGCTTTCTGGCATATGAGTTGTTGATCCTAGGTTGTAGTGCTGCAACCTGAGTCCCCATGTACTCTTAATAACAGGAGCGCACAAATTATCACACACGACGCAAACTCCGGCCCAACTTCCACGCATGTTCTGCGCTTAAAAAATTCAATTCTCTTCGAGGTCCATAATATCCAACAAATCAGGATCGAGCAACAGCTTTCCTTCTCAGCCGCCCATTTAAATGCCTTCTTTAAAATAGCGTGCAAGCATACAGCAGTCTCAAATACGGAGGAATTTGACTTCATTTCTGCATCCCGAGAGCTCAATGTCGTTGACCACATCTTCCAAGCTCACTTGAAAGTTTTCCTAGAAATCTCGTTACTGAACAAGCATTCTTGGACATTCATTATGGCATTCATTGCTTCTGCTATCTCATTAGATGCATCGCCGCCTGGAACGCACTGTACGTCCAGACTCCAGAAACATGCGCAAGACTGCCACTAACACGGCAGTGTTCCCAATACGGGCCTTTTTTCAGCAGTTGTACCGCATCCACTGCCACACGGTGTTCCTCTCTCGGTGTGACCCACGCGCTGCAGAAAATTACTGCCAATTGGTGGAAGATAAACTCGCAGGCATGCCCAGGTTAGCGGTAGACGAGTACCGAAAAGCTCATTTAGAGTCTTTCCAGGTGCAGTGGTGCCAATTCAAGACCACTAAGTCCTGCCTTTCTTGTTTACGAAAGAAACCCGAGCATGTTCTCAAGTGTGGTCATTCTCTCTGCGATACCTGCGTATGCATTTTCGGCAGTGTTATACCCAAAATGGAATACCACTATAAAGTAGCACGTTGCATTATCTGCAGCTTGTTAGTAAACCAGATCATCAAGTTGAAACCTCCGACGGCAGGATCCCTGCTTCTAACATTGGATGGCGGTGGAATCCGCGCAATAATCTCCCTCGAAGCCTTAAAAGCGCTAGATCGACAAAGAAGACTGCCATATCCTTTAATAGAGGACATTGATTTCGCTTTTGGGACTAGCTCAGGTACGTCGACTCTTTAGTCTCGCTAATTAGCTATCTTGCTGAGCCCCATAATAGGTGGGCTTATTGTACTCATGCTCTCTTTGGCGCAACGCTCAATTGATAAATCCGCATCGATGTTCTCAACGCTAGCTAAACGAATCTTTCCAGTTCGTGGAAAATGCCGGGGATCTTTGTGTGCCCGTATAATTGCCTTTCTCCGATCGTGGCTTACAGATAGTCGGTACGGTAGCGTGGAGATAAAAGCGTGCGTCAAAGAAGCCTTTGGTGCTGAACACAAGATGTTTAACAGGCCTCGGGTTTCTGGCACCAAAGTTGCGGTTACAACGACTACTGTAGACGATTCAAGATTATGTATTCTGTCTAATTACAATGGTGTTGGTACCCGACGTAAGGAGTGCGGTAAGCCAACGGAGCTCCCCAGAACGCTGATGCCTGCTGAAAGTTTGTCAGGTTACCGTTATTTTAGACCGCATTACTTCAATAATGAAACTCGGGTTTGTGAAGCGTGAGTGAGAGCGAGTGCAATAGATACAATGACGGTCAGTTCATGGGAGCTAATATGAGCGTTAGAGCCCAAGCTACGAGTGCCGCACTGTCCTATTTCCCAGCCAAGTTCGTGCCAGAATTAGGTTTTGTGCAGGATGGAGGTGTAGGGCAACACAACAATCCTATAGACCCTGCCGAATGGGAATCTAGAATCATATGGGACTGTAGTCCGGACCTAACGATATCAATTGGAACAGGCTTTATTCAACCGCCAGAATCGCCATTCATTCCACAGACCACTCTAGGGTTAAGGAATAGATTTGTAACGCGCCTTATACGCTTATTTGAATCACTACTTAGCGGTCAGAACCACTGGAATAAGCATATCAACAGGCTTGAAGAGGACGTAAGGAGTAAATACTTTCGCGTGAACATCCCGCTTGAATACGAGCCAGAGTTAGATGACGCCAAGAGACTAGACGGGCTGCAGCAGACATTGTCGGTACTTTTTCAGACGTTCGATTTTCAGAGCATTGTGCGAGCCTTGTTCGCGACTTCATTCTTTTTCGAGTTGGACAAACCCCCAGAATACCACACAGGCCGTCTTGAATGCTCCGGCACCATTAGGTGTCGCAGTCCGAACCCTGAAGCTCTGCTCCACCGAGTGCTCGAGGAATTTCCGCATGCTACGTTTGCGACAAATACCAGCCTAAATCTGGGGAACGTTTGTTACCCTGGCATATGCTTCAAGTGTTTATACTACCAGAAGCCTGTGCGCTTCGATGCATACCATGCGAGCGAAGTGATTTCGATTTCTCTACGGTTCAACAGACTTTTCGAAACTAGAATAAGCGGCTTCTCACACCCCGTTTCTTGGTTTAGCCAACAACAAAAGCAACATCTAGAGTTTGGCCGGCCGGACTACAGTCAACTCAGAGACCATCGCATGACAACGCCATTGTGTACTTGCAAAAAACGTAAAGCGCGTTTTTCACAGAGCCGCAATAAAAAAAGGCTTTGCCTTGATAAATAGATAGAATGCCGCCCAGCGCCTCCACCTTGAAATGATATAAGATTAAGGCACTAGAAATTTATAAGTGAGTGATAAGATGTCTTCCACTTCGAATTGGTTGCCTTACGTTTAATCAGTCAAATATAGCGTCAGGGAGAACTAACTCTAGGCTATCTCTTCTTTCATCGAGAAATTCTCTCCGTGGCCTGCGCTTTCTTTGCCTAGCAATGCGCCTTGAGGAGTCCACGTGGTGCCGAGGTTGGATAGATTCGGAAAGGCGTCGATAGACGCCTTTTAGTATGGAAAGCATGTCGTATTTTGGAGGAGGGATTAGTTGCGTCAAGGATTTGTGATTGTAGAGAGGGCTGTTAACTTAGGCTGTATATGGGTGGACGACGTTAGCCAGTGTATTCACGGAGCCATCTAGATGCGTTCGGTGAACTAGCGTGGAAATTAAGCCACAGGTGGAATAAGTGAGTGCGGCGAGAGTGATGCAGCGTGTGGCAGTAGTGGAAACGAATAAGATATGATTAGGCCTAGCGGTAGGGGTGGAATAGTGTTGTGGCAGCATTGTTGCCATAGTCTATCCGCGAAAGCTTCGGGTAGGACTGACTAAAAGATGCCTCAGCCTACCGTCGGAGACAACGTGCGGGTTAATGATACGACTAACTTACAGCACAACAAAACAATATTATTCCAAAAGCAACGGACTTTTTCTTTCTGTGGGGCGGATAGAGAGCATGTTGCGTGCCAAGGATGATTGGTGGCAGAACCTTGGAAGAGGCCAGACCAAACCGCTGGGATAAGAGCTAGATTCAGTCCCCGACTGCGGCCAGCATGTTGCTTGATGGACATACGCGGCTCGCAAAAGGAAATAGCAGCGGGATGGTCGTGGTCAGGCTGTGTCCAGGCTCCATGCAGGTGGTCATCAAGATGTTGAAATTTGAATACGCAGAGCTGTCTAAACCCGGTCTATTTAAGGACAAGTCAACTTGGATCCAAAGATTTAGATTTTTCCCCTAATAATTTGGGGGGTGACAGCTCTCCCGTCGCCCTGCGGAGGTGTGTACGAGCCGAGGCTGTTGCAGCAGCGCCCAGGTGCAATGATCGGTCTGCTGGGGCTGCGAACTCCAGGAGATCGCAAATGGCAGACTTGGCGTCACGTGATAGGCATTAAAAAGCTAACAACACCCGGCGTCGCCTGGAATTAGCTATCAAGGGCAATGATTAATGACCAATTAGAAGGACTCTTTCTTGAAATCCTCCGCTTGTCCGATTTGCGTCTAGATCCGTCCATCATCCCAACCTCCCTCTGTTTAAGGAGGGACAAGGCGTGACTTGCTCGTCTTTGGCCCCGTTCTGGTTGACCGAGCTATTATTGACTTCTTTACCAACTCTGTTACGCTTCGAGTACAAGTCAGCCGCAACCCAAGGATTGAGCCGGTTGCCCATCGACTCGACGCGCAGAACCCTGTTGTTGAATTGAATCTCCCCGAGTTAGAGCATCGTGGGTTCGCTAACGCGATGTCTTATCGGGAGTACAAAGGGCTCTCTGCTGACGAAGTTGATTCCGCCTACCTTTGTGTTGTTAAGATTTCCGATGAACCATTGCCAGATCGCGTACTACAGCCTGGAACCGATCCTCCTTCGGAACAAGAAGATGAGAACCTTCTACCGCTAGTTGACCATGTCACTCCTCCAGCTATGCAGAAGAAGCTTCGAGGGCTCCTTAATGAGTACAAATCGAAATTCCGGAACGTCCTACCCAATATCCTGCCGCCCAAGCGCAGGTACGACCATCCGATTGACACGGGCGATGCAAAGCCAGTTAACAACGCCGCATACCGCCTTTCCCATCACCAAATGGAGGAACAGACCCGACAGATCCACGAGTTGCTGCAGCAAGGCCTCATCCGAGAATCTGTTAGTGCCTGGGGCTCTCCGGTTCTCTTTGTTCCTAAGCCTAATGGCAAATGGTGGCAGCCAGTTAGAATGCTCCTACGCACATCTGTCTACGCGTCTCAGCTGGACAGGGTTCACTTCTCAGCTGGACAAGGTTCACCTGTTGTTTTGTCACCGTTGCTGCCTGCTACCCCTGGTCTCTCTTCACTATATAGCCACTCGTTAGCACCTCAATACAACTCATGCTTTCCTCACTGATCCTCTGCCCTTCCTACGCCAGCTGCCAAATGGCGAATGTGCATCGATTACCGAGCTCTCAATCTCGTAACCCAAAAGAATACCTACCCACTGCCGCGTATTGATGATTGCTTGCAGTCTTTTGGAAAGGCAAGATACTTTACTAAGATCAACTTGACCTCGGGCTATCATCAACTACGCGTCCACCAATCGGATGTCCATAAGACGGCTTTCAATACAATCGAAGGGAAATTTGAATCCCTGGTCATGTCTTTTGGCCTATGCAATGCTCCAGCCACTTTCCAAGCTATTATGAACGACACCTTGCGGCCGTACCTACGTCGCTTCATGCTCGTCTATATGGACGACATCGTAGTGTTTTCGGAAACATTAGAAGAGCATTATGACCACCTCCGATTGCTATTCGAAGCCCTTAAGAAGGAGCAACTGTTTGCTAAAACCGACAAATGCTCGATCGCACAAGATACCATTGAGTTCTGTGGCCATGTGGTTTCCCACGGTACCGTGAAGCCAATGACCAACAAACTGGACGCCATACGCAAATGGCCGGTCCCTAACAACGTCCACGAAGTCCGACAGTTCCTCGGTCTTGAGACGTACTATCGCAAGTTCATACAGCACTTCGCTCGCATTTCGGCACCCCTCCACGAGCTCCTAAAGGAGAGCGACGCCCTTAAGCGCAAGCAGAAGTACAGAACTATTACGTGGAACGTTGGCTGTCAATTAGCTTTCGACACTCTGAAGCGAAAGCTCATCGAACGCCCTGTACTTGCCCTTATCGACTGGTCGAAGCCCTTTCGGATTGAAACAGACGCATCCGATTTTGCTATCGGTATGGTCCTCCTTCAACAAGGCGACGACGGCGAGTGGCACCCTATCGCGTTCGATGGTTGGAAGCTTAATAAGGCCGAATTAAATTATCCAGTGCATAAGAAAGAACTCTTGACCATCAAGGAAGCGTTGCGGGTTTGGCAACACTATATTCAAGAGAAGAACTTAACAATTGTGACCGATCATCACTCGTTACAATATCTACAAACCACGAAGAAAGCCTCTCCGAGGCTCGCTCGATGGATTGAGGATTTCCAGCAATATAACCCCATAATTCAGTACCGCTCAGGAGCTTTAGCGACGGTGCCGGTCGCGATCAGTAGGCGCCCTGATTTCGCCCGAGACCGCCTCGCTACCCTCCACGAGGACGAGGATCCTGATATGGAGTATATTGAAGATCTGAAGAGGTTCCTCATAACGGGCCTCAAGCCGACTCTCTCCGAACAACCGTCGGAGGCTGAACTGAAACGACACCGGCTACGCTGCCGAAGAATCCACCCGTCATTGTGTCGGAACTTTGCTATACTTAAAGGAGAACTACGCCATCGCTCTTATGAACCTGATGGAGATCTTTACACTCTAGAGAATACTGTACCGTATATCGCACCGCCCTTCCGTCGAGCCACTCTCGAGAAGACGCATCAGCTAGGCCATTTCACGTACCGTGACATGCAGGAAGCGCTTCAAGCCTATGGATGGTGGCCGGCGATGAGTCGAGATGCGAACGAATACGCCCATGAGTGTACCTCCTGCCAGCTAGTGCAGAGGGAAGATCATACGAGAACCGACATTCCATCGGGTCAAGGATCGAGATCCGTTCGATGGACGGGGCATTGATTTGATCGGGAGATTGCCGCGATCAATCCACGGGAACAGGTGGGTCATCACTGCCATCGATTACGCTACGGGTTGGCCAGAAGCTGCCGCGCTGCTTAACGCGCACACCGAGACCATAGCGACATTCATCTATGAACGTATCTACTGCCAGTACGGCCCTCCAGCCGCATTTACAACCGATAATGGATCGAACTTCCTTTCCGAGGTAATTACGGCTCTGCAGAGACTGGTTCTTTCCCGTGCACTACAGGACCCCTGAACCCCTGAGCATGCTGCATCAATTCGTCGTACACTCTTCGAAGACTACCCTCATCGGAACCGATCTCCGCAGGATGCCTCGAACGACGAAGCCCACGCAAAGCGGCCTGCATAACCGTCACCTAATATCTACACAGAAACTACCATCACCTTCGAGATTGCCAAAGACAAACCCAACAACACCTCGAACCAGAGATCGAACCGGCTATACGAGGAAGTCCAATCCACACCGCCTGCTGGCACCTGAACCAAGTCCACCGAAGTCATTGCCTACCTCCATTAAAACCATCGAAACCTACTACGGACTTGTTCGCAGATGGGGGGACGCCAATCTATCCTCGACAGACTTGATGCAGCCTTTACAGGACCCCAACCTACTTTTCGACCCTCCTCCGAAGGACAGTTACCCGGTCAATTGCCCCACTATTCTACCAAAATCCTCGTTTGGCCCAACCATACTCGATGTGCACCTAGCCATATTTGACATAGATCCAAACAACTCGATAGCGCACATTAACCCAACCGTACTCCACATGGATCCAAACAACTCGATGGCGCACATTAACCCAACCATACTCCACATGGATCCAAACAACTCAATAGCGCAAACCGACTCAGCCATACTCAACGTGGACCTACTTAGCAAGAAATTTTACAAGTCCCAGATGTGCCCCAAGAGCTTCGCAGATCCCTCTGCTCTTAGAAAGCACGAACGGCCCCACACTGGCGAGGAAGAGCTGAACGGAGTCGATCCAGGAGATAGCCAAGGCAGACCAGAGTGCCAAACGTGCGGCAAGAGCTTCGCGGATCACTCTGCTCTCAGATTTCACAAACGGACCCACACTGGCCAGAAACCTCACAAGTGCCAGGAGTGCTCCAAGAGCTTCGCGCATCCCTCTACTCTCAGTAGGCACGAACTGACCCACAGTGGCAAGAAACCTTACAAGTGCCAGATGTGCCCCAAGAGCTTCGCGGATCCCTCTACTCTCAGAAGGCACAAATTGACCCACAGTGGCAAGAAACCTTACAAGTGCCGGATATGCCCCAAGAGCTTCGCGGATCCCTATGATCTCAGAAGGCACGAACAGGCCCAAAGAGGTCATTAAGTCAAATAGAGGTGTTTAAGATGTTCCACACATTACACGGCGGAAGGCTTTGTCCGAGTAAGTTCATCGCACGAACTTGTAGATTCAGGAGGCCACGCGAGTCTATGCTGGCGGCGATGATGTGCTCCGTGATTTAGGCCACAAGAACTTTGAGCGTCTCCACTCTCTGTGACGACTTGTGAAGATCGCTTCCGCGAGTTCAAGAAAAAGGAGGTAGCCGCCACCAAAGAACCGTCTATTGAGGATGTATTCCCAATCATTGAGGCCGAACTGCATAACTACAGGTGTCGCCACCGTTCTGCAGCATCCGGTATGAACTTTCCTTCAACTAAGCTGTCGGTTGGAGCATTAGCCAGGAAGCTATGATGCGGTTCACGAAAACGCACCCTCTCCTTTACCCCAATCCCGTACTGCAGCCTGTCGGATGTGATACCGCTCGCTTAGGCTTGAAAGATCCTCAGCCACTTTAAACCCTCGGGGACGTGTGCACGGTGGCATGGAGAGGACCGACATAGTAATATATAGAGCTAGTTACGCCCGGATGCACGTTTGCCTTCAGTCACAGCGACTCCAATCGTTCTACGCCCATCCCAAACCTCTGGTTCGCATCTTTCCCACAACTCAAAAGTGGCTTAGCAGTCTCTGGACGAACACCTCTCCATCATGGCGGGGAAAATACCTTTGTACAAGCTCGTGGTGCTCGGGGACGGTGGCGTCGGGAAGACAGCTTTGACTATCCAGGTGGGCTCCTTCCACATCGTGTTAAATGTCAATCGCTAACTGTATTTCTAGCTATGCCTGAACCACTTTGTCGAAACATACGACCCGACCATCGAGGACTCGTACCGCAAGCAAGTGCAGATTGATTCCCAGTCATGCACGCTGGAAGTGCTTGACACGGCAGGCCAAGAAGAATACATCGCGCTGAGAGTGGATACGGGACGGCGAGGGCTTTGTGCTGATCTATAGCATCTCGTCTCGGCCGTCCTTTACACGCATCCAAGAATTTCACCACCAAATTCAGCGGGTCAAAGAATCATCGCTATCCGGATCACCAATATACCCCGGCTCGCCACCAAGCGCATCATCGAACGGGTCTGCTTTCGGCCCGGCGCCTGTCATGCTAGTGGGTAACAAGTGCAACAGAGTGACAGAACGTGAAGTCTCGACCCAAGAAGGCAGTGCGCTCGCTCGCTCGCTAGGATACGACTTTGTGGAGGCTTCCGCGAAAAATTGCGTGAATGTTGAGAAGGCCTTCTACGATGTCGTGCGGCAGCTGAGGCGACAACGCCAACAGCCTTGCGGCCAGGGCAACAAGTCATCGCGGGCAGACAATTTGAAGAGAAAAGTTCAAGGATATGGTTACGGTAATTATGGCGCAGGGTATCCTCGAAACCAACAGGGAAAGCATGGGAGTGGGAATAACACAAAGTGTGTAAGTTAGTCCCAGTGCAACGTGTAAGATCGGAGACAGAGGGGAAGTTGTAAGAGTACCAGGCCGCGAAAAGCCCGTTACCGGTACGCTTATCACCATGTACGATTACCGTCATGCAGACATTGGTATCTTCAATCACGTTGCGGCCATTTTCTCCAGTCCTCTGCAACAGTACTACGAGGCGATTATACCTAAATGCTTATCTTTGCCAGAATTCTTCCTATACAAGGAAGATGGTGTGGTATAAGTAAAGAGGGTATATCATCTACTTGGGAAAAGCCCTTACAGATAGATATCTCGAAGACGCTAGCGCAATCGATCTCATCAAGACGATGTATCCAGTTCTCAACGATTGGTCGCTTTCTATTTTCATCTTTGGGGTACTTCACGACACTATACAGATGACGGAATGCGCTCAATTTCCGATAGAGTTGAGGTTGCGGACAGTTAGGCGTTTAGTGGAATAGAGATACGTGCCGCAGCGCTTCAGTCTTGTATAATAGATATCTAGTTCCCTTTCGTATCTTCATATATTTCGTCGCTCTCTTCTTCTTTTTCTTCTTCTTCTTCCTCCGGTAGTGGTGATAGACCGTCACTATCGCTTAAACATGTTAGCTAGTTTAGCAAAATCTAAAAGGCACCACTTGCTACGCAGTAGGGAGCAATAGCCCCTTACTCTCCCATTCTTCAAGATATAAGAGAAGACGCTCCATACAGTCGAGGAGATTCCTAAAATCGTCCGCCTTAAGCTGTGTACTATCTTTGTTCCACATATAGAGGTAGGAGTTGTATTGTTTTCGAAACTTGGAGATCTCGTATGAATGCATTGGGATAGATAGACAGCCGTTAGGAAAGAAGATGGTCACGTTTATAAAGAAATTGCTTCTTTATATTAGAAAGCAAGGTGCATTTCTAAGGGGCCTTTAATGTTATGGGAGCTCGAAAATAGGCTCAAATGTAACATAACTCCAAACTACATCTTGGTCTGTCATGCCGTTCATCTATTGCTCTCGAGTCCTAAAGCACTTGCTGTCTTGATTTAATCGGACTTCACAATAATAGCAGGCGATTCGTGGCAAAGTAACTTTCCGCTGCCAGCTACCGGTAGCAGATTCCCCAAACCCAAAGTCTTTCTGGAAAGATGGTTTTTCGATTTCTGGACTACAAGCTGGCTGGTGAAGGTTCACCTGAATGTAACTTTTTTACCAACGAGACCCCTATCGTGAGAAGATCGGACGTTTCGTTTGGAGATAGGGCTTTTTCGCTTGGGGTGGGATGAAAGGTCTTCGGCTTGGCGGTAAAAAGCTACACCAATGAAGATTGTTCCCTATTTCATCTACAGAAGAAGCGTTACGTTGCAAGCTAAGTGTGCTCAAAGAACTAGATCTTTATTCGGCGGGACCTCAACACATAGCGCTTTAAAGAAAGAGGAGTCAAGAGCATGATTTTCCAATGACTTTGCATTAATCTGGTGGCAGCCAGTTAGAATACTCCTACGCACGTCTGCCTACGCGTCTCAGCTGGACAAGGTTCACCTGTTGTTTGCCACGGTTGCTGCCTGCAACCCCTGGTCTCTCTTCACTATATAGCCACTCGTTAGCACCTCAATACAACTCATGCTTTCCTCACTGATCCTTTGCCCTTCTTACGCCACCCCATCAAAAATCGTAGAAACGCGACGCGTTACTCAACTACTGCCTCAATGCCTATACTATAACAACGAGAAGACCTCTTTAAAGAGGGCAGAATTGATCTAGCTATTTAAGCGTACAAGCAAGGCCAAATTACAAGTTTCCGAAAAGCAACAAGCACGTACGACGTGCCCCGGAGCACCGCCCGGCTACGCGCCAAGGGCATCAAACCAAAACGCGATTCTATCGCATCGAATCGCCGTCTTACACCTGCACAAGAAGAGAGCCTCAAGCAATGGATTCTATCATCAGATCGACGCGGTATGCCGCACGAAGCCCTCGCCGTCTCGTATCCAACGGTCTCGTAGCGCAATGTATTCTTCTTGACCTGCGGTGTCAAGCACTTCCAGCATATATGACTGTTGATCAATCTCCACCTCCTTGCGGTATGAGTCCCCGATGGTCGCGTCGTAGTCTTCGTAGAAGCGGTTCAGACACATCTAGGAATACAGTTAGTGGTCAAAGCTGTCTTCCCGACGCCACTGTCCCCGAGCACCACGGACTTGTACAAAGTCAATGTCCCCATTGTGGAGGTCTGTTGGTCTGGAGACTGCTAATCTGCTTTCGAGTTGCGAGCAAGATGCGAACCAGAGGTTTGGGATGGGGGTAGAACAAAAGGAGATTGGTTGGACAGTCTGGCGGTTCGACCAATGCCTAAGAACTCAGGGCGCAGGAAGACGCAAGAAAACGTGCAGGAAGGCAACTGGTGAGAATGGAATGAGAGCCGGTAAGGCAACGAGGAAGGACCTGTCAGCCGCGTCGGGCGTAACTGCTTGATATAACATCCTCTCCCTCGTGCTAACCTAGACCCCAAGTCAGTTTCCGGTACAACAGAAGAAGGATGAGCAGGCCTCTTCGGCCGCGAAAAGCAATCATCGCATTTCTATGAGACAGACCACTGTCTCTCCGCCACTATTGCCTGCGGTAGTATGTTGGTCGCAGAATACCAAGACAAGCGGTGGTTACTTGGAAGGGTACAGGAATGTTACGTGAAGTCAAACGATGCCTCCTCACAAAATGAAGCAAAGCTTGGTGCTCTGTCATCATAGAGGCCGCTGGCGCAAAGTAGTGTAGGAGAGTAGGAGAGTATTGAAGGAGGATGATGTGCGCGCCTCGCGCTGAAGCTGCACGGGTCCGCCCAACCAGCACGCTAGTCCAAAATAGCACTTGACGAGAGAGAATCCGTGCCCAATGCGTTTGGACTTTAGCAGGACCGCATCAAACAAATTGGACTGGGCAGGCTCGCTGGACCTGGCGGTGTCCAGCAGTGTCTCACCCGCGTGAGACAAGTAAGGAATTTCTGATTTGCGCTCGTCGCAGGTCTGGGAAAACCACCTCAACTCATCCAGGTAGAATGCAGTTGGGTTGCCTCTATCTTCAGCTCCGACGAGGTCGAATCCTGCAAAAGTTAGAGTGTCTCATCACTTTGTTGAGATAATGTACCTACCACAGATAAGAGATGGAAACTCTTGCTTCAGCCTCATGCAATCTTCCATTTCTGTTCGCATTTTTCCCTTCGAAATAGATCGCGGGGTATAAGTTAGTAGATAATCTTGAGACCAAAAGGGAATTTGTCAAGGTCATCTGTGCTTCATAGGCCCGCTTGCTTCGCTTCAACTAATTCTAGGATCATCATCATCTGGGAGTTGATTGAAATTTGGCCTTCCCCATCGTCGCTTGGGATTGATTTGTCCATCAGCATTGGGCGCAATTCAGCATACATGATCTTCTCTTCGATTATTTTCTAGATAACTTGGCCAATATACCATCTATACACGCTATATTGCTCCCATGTTTCACAAGTGCCAATAGATACGAGCGGGCACCTTCCTGTACACCCAACTGACCGCCACACTCTGATGTGAAACGCAATGTACGCAAGTTTTGAAGTTGACACAGATCATGATCTTGTACCATAGTTTCGTCAAACACACCCACCTGCCCACCAGATATCAGGACCCTCGAGCTTCCATGGAATCCCAAGTTGCTCGAGCTTAGTGCAGTGCTTGCTAATAAGAGCAACTTCTTCGGAAGGGTAATCGGTGTTCCTCGATCCAATTAATAGCACTTGCAGTGTCTCTGCATGGGAGCTGAATAGATCGAAATGCAGGAATGCTCGGCGTGGACCGTATAGATGCTCATACACCGGGTTGGTAAGGACGGCTAGGTGACGCAGGCCAGAGAAGGAGGCCAGAAATAACCCTAAGCTCGAGCGTGCAGACGCTATAACGTCAGATCGACCATACTCTTCAGCGAATGAAAACTCGATTAGAGAAGTAGCTTTGTTTTGAGTCTTCATCCTCGTGTGCTCGTTGGTGATCATGTAGCCGGAAACCCTCGAAGCAGTAGTCGAGGCGCAAGACCTTAAGACAGCCGATATTGAAAGTCTTTCGTGACCCGCTCTCGAGTAGTGGCAAACTAATCCTAACTAAGTTAGTCGGAGTTCCGTAAGTGTAATCGCAGGCGAAAATAGGACTCTATCGATCAGGTTAATTGGCAGTTTGGCATCGCCTGGAAAGGCAAAGTCTGTAAGGACAGCAATTCTAAGATATTGTAGGCGCGGGCAGCACTCGACAATTTTGGCAAAATTTTCAATTGCCTCTTGTGCTGTGTCTGTAGGAACGTCCTGGCTGTAGATATAGGACTCTGTTTCTACCCGGAACTCAATGGGGACCTTGTATTCCGATATCTCGTGGCGGATTCTTCTTCATGCGCCCTCAAACTCAGAAGCTCTCGCATCGAGTTGTCCGATTTTAGAATGGTGCTTTAGTATTTTAATATATCTCATTTGCAGGAATGCCGATTGTTAATAGACTCTTTATCTCGCTGCCATCCACAAGCTGTTCCAATCACTGGAGCTTTGGGCCAAGTCGCGGAGGTTGGAGCCAGCTGACCAATGATCTCGCCATGTGTCGGGTGCAGATAGAGGAGAGCCCGATATGTCAGATATGGGCAGTAGCCACAGATACGCTTTTTGGTGATCGGACGCTTCGCCTTCGCAATTCTCAGCATTTCTATAATTCACAAACAGCGACGCGTCACGTGTCTGTGACATTTGCGAACTCCTGGAGTTCGCAAATGGCACTGCTGACTCAGGCCACATCACGTGTCTGTGCCATTTGCGAACTCCTGGAGTCGCAAATAGCACGTAGTTTTAATACTGGGTGTAACTAGCAAGAAACCCCAGCCTTAGAGGACAACTATTTTTATATGCAATGTTAGGATTTTCTAACTTAGACAACATCACGTGTCTGTGGCATTTGCGAACTCCTGGAGTTCGCAAATAACACTGCTGACTTAGGCAACATCACGTGCATATACCATTTGCGAACTTCTGGAATTCGCATACGGCGCTGCTGACTTATGCCGCTCACGGGTTCTGTTCTTTTCTCCAATTACTGCTACAACAACATCACTTCAACGAGGTATTAAACTCTTTTGCCCATATCCGAATCTTTCATCGCACAACAGTTTATGCGTCTCTATTAACTCATACACCCTGTTTAAGTTGGCGGATCGCGTGTATAAAAAGCACCCGGCGTTTGTACAATAGCACTAGGTCTGGCGTAAAACGTGGAGTTATTATAAGTAACGTTTTGTGAGTGTTTAAGTCCTAAGTCAACATAGGCTGGGTAGCTGGTACCTATAAACCCGCAATCTTCCGAGCTTATATATATGGATATGGTCTATTTTACGCGGACACGTGACCGCGATAGGAGAACGAAAACTCCGCATCGTCCGCAGGCCTCAACTCCGCATCAGCCTTTGTATAGAGTTGTTCGAGCCTCCATCGCCACGATATCTCACGCAGCAGTAGAGCCTTGTTTCTACCTTTATTCTATTCATCCCATCTACTAACCTGCATCAGCTGCACGCCTTGTACAACCTACGATTGCCATCGGGCCCCCCCCTATATAGCAACTCAACGCTCCCTCGCCCGTCGCTATTATAACCTAAAGCGGTGCATCTACACCGTCAGAGGGTGCCCAGACCCCGACCTCATCGGGGCCCGGATTTCTGCCCCAGCACATACTTAGTGGCATGCCCGCTAAGCTACACAATTGCTATTATATGGCACAAGTTAAGTCTGCAGAGGCCGCTGCTAACAACCTTAAGCGCCTGGGCGAAGAGTTGCCCGAGCTAGCCCTCCGCCGCAAGCGCTCCAATCTGGGGCCGGAGCCCAGCAAAGATATAGGTGAGGTTCCGCTTACTGTCTTATCTATTGTTAATAGATTTCCAGGCATCCAACAGGCCCACCTACTCCGCATCTTCAACCACTAATTTAAGCCCCTCGACCACCTAATATTGCTGCGGCAGGCGCGGAAGCACTAGCTGTTGCTCCGCAATAAGCTAATAGTTAATACCCTAAGCAGAGATAAGATAAAGATCTTTAGCCTTACGCCCGCAGTATAGTCCTACTGCTTCCTTATATATACCTAAATTATTGCCCGCCTCCACCCAGGGCACCTTATTATTGCTATAGAAATAGTAGCCTTCTACTAGCAGGTTATTAACTATGCTAACATCTATTTATAGCAGGAGGCTGTCCTCCTGTTTATAATCTATTAGTATTAACGTATAATAGATTTAAATAAGCTCTCGGCTAGTAATTAGATAGCCTAGCCACGTATATACGTCGACTAGTACTTTATAATAAACTTTATAACCCTATCTGCCCCGCTATCTAAAGCTGCAGCGGCCCCCGATAAAAGGCGGTTAGATAGGGCTATAGAGCCTAATAAGGCAGGTATAGATTGCGCTAACTATACTAAGGATAGCGTATATAACTGGCGCAGCTGCTACTATAACTATACCTATACTAAGTATAGTAAGAACCACCGCACTATAAAGTATACGAAAAAAAAAAAAAATACAGAGCAGGCCTTATAAATAACGCCCTTACTAACAGCGGATGCACCGCTACTAAAGCTAATAAGCCTGCTACTAAAGTAGCTAAACACGCTTATACTATTTAATATTATTAATATAAATAGGCCTCTAATAGTTAACTCGCTGTCGCCGCTTATAGTAGCCGAGTAGGCGTTACTGCTTATAGCCTACCCGGGCAAGCTAGGCTTTCTACTTCCGGATATTATTATATTCGGCGCATAGGTAGGCTATATAGGCCCGCTAGCACTTAAAAGCAGCCTAAACCACTCTATTAAGGAGCCCGATATTATTACTATAAAGCTAGAAGTTAATTTAGCCCTATATAGAGTCCGAATAGCATTACTATAGATAACTTTTATTTTACCTCTAGGCCTTATACTAAAGTATAACAGCAGCTAGAGATATATCTATAACCTTTTATATTCTTATAAAAAGGGCGTTAATAACTAAATCCTGCGCTACTAGGCCTTTTTTATATACCTTAAGCTTAATAAAATCTATAACTGCATTATTAAAGCTAGGGCGGGCTGCCTACTAGTAAAATAAAATATTAAGAACACTTTTTATAAGGTACTAGTAGCCCCTTATAATTAGCACCTGCTAGGCTTTAAGTAGCTAGGCTCTATATATATAGAGCGCTGCCTCCCCTTTAGCCTTTCTATAGCGCCCTTTCTATTTAATCTATTTATAGAAAAACTGCACTAGATTTTTAACGCCAGCCTTAATAAGTAGTTAGTATACTACTACTTTAATAACTTTATTATTATTATAGCAGCCCCTGCTATAGAGCACCTAGCGCGCTTATAGTAGTTTAGCACTATCTATACAGCTACTATAAACCGGCTAGGCGTCCTGCTAAATAATAAGAAGAATAAATATAGTACCTGCCTTAATATTCTAGGTATAGAAATTAACAGTATTACTATAGAGGCCAGGCTGCCCTAGAGTAAAATAAACTATATATATAGTAAAGTTATAGCCGTACTATAAGCCTAGAGTATATTACTTTAGTAAGCCTAGTTATTAGCAGGCTTTTTTAACTTCTGCGCTTAAGTTATAATACTTAGCAGGTTATAGCTACGCCCTCTATTTAATTTTATCTAAGCTTTTCTACCCTATTATAAGCAGTCTATATATTGCTGTATTTTAGTAGAACTTATAGCAGACCTGCTATAGTAGAAAAACCTACTTCTAAACTTTAATAGAGTCTAATTCCTAAATAATACTGCTAGGCTAATAGTATATATTATTACTAATATATTTAATATTAGCCTTAGCCTATTCTACTTTAAATCCTCTATAGTTTAAACCAGGTAGCAAGCCTATACTAAAGCCCTGTTAGAAACCTAAGCCGCAATAATAGCTATTAAAGGCGCAGCCGCTAATAACTATATTAATATTAAAGAGGTGCAGGTAATTTTTAAAGCTTTTTAGCTTTTCTTCTACTAGTAGTATAGCTATATAGCTATACTATATACTAACAGCACTACTGCGCTCTAGGGCCTATAGAAGGGCTATATTAAAGGCGCCGCGGATATACTGCTTAAATAGCTGCTGCTACTTACCGCCGCCCGCGATATTAACCTGCTACTAATATAGCTCTCCTCTAAAAATAACGCACTAGCAGACGCCCTTTCCCGCCTAGATATTAAACGCGTTGCTAATATCTGCCTGCAGTAGAAGAACTTGCCGGCCTTAAGCTGCTGCGCGGGTTTCGTAAGTAGATACCCTATTTTAATAACGCGCACCTTAAGCTGCTATAGAACGGCCTAGTAGTAGGTATAAAGTAGTTCTATAAGTCCCTGTAAAACAGCTATAAGTAGATCTATACCCTTAATAAAATATAAGCCTAGCCGGCCTTAGTAAACTTACTAGTAAGGTAGGTTACTATATACCTATTTAGGTTGTTTATATATAAACAACTCCGGCCCAGCTCTATAATAATAGGCCTTTCTGCGCTGCGCTCTATATATATTAACTGCAGGCTACTATTAGAGGTATTTAAGAATAAGTATATTAAGCGCCTAGTAAATAGCAGGAGAAGGCTATTCCTGCAGCTAGTATTGCGCACCCGCTACCTAATTTTAAAGGCTATAATTACAGGGCTATTTAGATATATAAACGCACTAGAGCAGCTAGCTGCTAATAACCTTAACTTTTTAGCCGCGTGCCGGGTAGCTTTTGCCGGCTTTTTTAGGCTTAGTAAGTTTACCTATAAAAAGAAAGATTTTATTAATAAAAGGACTTTTATTAATACTAGGCTTACCCGCAGTAATATCTATATAGCGGCCGACTATACTATACTCTACCTTAGCCGCAGTAAAACTAATATAGCCTATAAGGGCGTGCAGATTCTTTTATTATATATAAGCAATAACGCCTGCCCGGTATAAGCGCTTAAGAGGCTTCTTAGTATTAATAGCTAGCTACCCTTAGCACTGCTATTCTACTTCTAGAAGTCGCTCTTTAACTGTATAATATTCCTATACTAACTTTTATTATAGCTTATATAGCTTAGCGTTAACCTAAAGGGCTATTTAGGCTATAGTTTCTATAAAAAAGCGGCCTAGTATACTTATAATAGAGGCGCCCTTAATAGCTAGGTATAGACGCTTAGCTACTGGATATTAAACGCCTTTAGGCTCTATTTTACAACTAACCTAACTATTCTACTCCGGCTTAACTACTAGTTCTTTACCGGAACCCCTTTTTTTTATACTACCCCTTTTTAGCTCTATAGGTTTAGGCACTTATTTAAAAGGTCTTTTTTAGTGCGTGTATATAGCTAAGCAATTTTATAGTTTATATTAAGCGGCTGCGGCTTATATAAAGCCTTAGCGGCCTTACTAATACGCTTTTAATATTATAAGCTTACTTTATAGCTAGCTAGCACAGCCTATAGAGGCTTTTATTACCTAATTTATATATAGTTTAATATTTATATATAGCCGGTGCACTATATACGGCCGGCTAGCTTAGCTAGAATAGCTAAACTAGCCGGGCGGCCCCCTTTACTAAGTAAGAGCGTGGAAATAGATAGATATAGTCTATTTTACGCGGACACGTAACTGTAATAGAAGAACGAAAACTCTATATTATCCGCAGGCCTTAACTCTATATTAGTCTTTATATAGAGTTGTTTAAGCCTCTATTACTATAATATTTCACGCAGTAGTAGAGCCTTATTTCTACCTTTATTCTATTTATCCTATCTACTAACCTATATTAGCTGCACGCCTTATATAACCTATAATTACTATCGGGCCCCCTCTTATATAGCAACTTAACGCTCTCTTACCCGTCGCTATTATAACCTAAAGCGGTGCATTTATACTATTAAAGGGTGCCTAGACCCTAACCTTATTAGGGCCCGGATTTCTGCCCTAGTATATACTTAGTAGTATACCCGCTAAGCTATATAATTGCTATTATATAGTATAAGTTAAGTCTGCAGAGGCCGCTGCTAATAACTTTAAGCGCCTGGGCGAAGAGTTGCCTAAGTTAGCCCTCTGCCGCAAGTATTCTAACCTAGGGCCGGAGCCTAGCAAAGATATAGGTAAGGTTCCGCTTACTGTTTTATCTATTATTAATAGATTTCCAGGTATCTAACAGGCCTACCTACTCTATATCTTTAACTACTAATTTAAGCCCTTTAACTACCTAATATTACTGCAGCAGGCGCGGAAGTACTAGCTATTGCTTTATAATAAGCTAATAGTTAATACCCTAAGCAGAGATAAAATAAAAATCTTTAGCCTTACGCCCGCAGTATAGTTCTACTGCTTCCTTATATATACCTAAATTATCGCCCGCCTCTACCTAGGGCACCTTATTATTACTATAGAAATAGTAGCCTTCTACTAGCAGGTTATTAACTATACTAATATCTATTTATAGCAGAAGGCCGTCCTCCTGTTTACAATCTATTAGTATTAACGTATAATAGATTTAAATAAGCTCTTAGCTAGCAATTAAATAGCCTAGCTATATATATATATTAACTAGTACTTTATAATAAACTTTATAACCCTATCTGCCCTGCTATTTAAAGCCGCAGCGGCCCCTAATAAAAGGCGGTTAGATAAAGCTATAGAGCCTAATAAAGCAGGTATAGATTGCGCTAACTATACTAAGGACAGTATATATAACTAGCGCAGCTGCTACTATAACTATACCTATACTAAGTATAGTAAAAACCACCGTACTATAAAATATATAAAAAAGAAATAAAACGCGGAGCAGGCCTTATAAATAACACCCTTACTAACAGCGGATATACTACTACTAAGGCTAATAAGCCTGCTACTAAAGCGGCTAAATATACTTACGCTATTTAATATTATTAATATAAATAGGCCTCTAATAGTTAACTTACTATTACTACTTATAGTAGCTAAGTAGGTATTACTACTTATAGCCTACCCAGGCAAGCTAGGCTTTCTACTTCCGGATATTATTATATTCGGCGTATAGGTAGGCTATATAGGCCCGCCAGCACTTAAGAGCAGCCCGAACCACCCTATTAAGAAGCCTAATATTATTACTATAAAGCTAGAAGTTAATTTAGCCCTATATAGAGTCCGAATAGTATTACTATAAATAACTTTTATTTTACCTCTAGGCCTTATACTAAAGTATAATAGCGGCTGGAAACGTATTTATAACTTCTTATATCCTTGCGGAAAAAGCGTTAATAACTAGATCCTGCGCTACTAGGCCTTTTTTATATACCTTAAGCTTAATAAAATCTACAACTATATTATTAAAGCTAGGGCGGGCTGCCTACTAGTAAAATAAAATATTAAAAATACCTTCTATAAGGTACTAGTAGCCCCTTATAATTAGCACCTGCTAGGCTTTAAGTAGCTAGGCTCTATATATATAGAGCGCTGCCTCCTTTTTAGCCTCTCTACAGCGCCCTTTCTATTTAATCTATTTATAGAAGAACTGCACTAGATTTTTAACGCCAGCCTTAATAAGTAGTTAGTATACTACTACCTTAATAACTTTATTATTATTATAGCAGCCTTTGCTATAGAGCACCTAGCGCGCTTATAGTAGTTTAGTACTATTTATACAGCTACTATAAACCGGCTAGGCGTTCTACTAAATAATAAGAAGGATAAACACGGCACCTGCCTTAATATTCTAGGTATAGAAATTAATAGCGTTGCTATAGAGGCCAGGCTGCCTTAGAGTAAGATAGACTATATATATAGTAAAGTTATAGCCGCACTATAAGCCTAGAGTATATTGCTCTAGTAAGCCTAGTTATTAGCGGGCTTTTTTAACTTCTATACTTAAGTTATAATACTTAGCAGGTTGCAGCTACGCCCTCTATTTAATTTTATTTAAGCTTTCCTACCCTATTATAAGCAGTTTATATATTGCCGTATTCTAGCAGAACTTATAGCAGACCTGCTATAGTAGAAAGACCTACTTCTAAACTTTAATAGAGTCTAATTCCTAAATAACACCGCTAGGCTAATAGTATATATTATTACTAATATATCTAATATTAGCCTTAGCCTATTCTACTTTAAATCCTCTATAGTTTAAACCGGGTGGCGAGCCTATACCAAAGCCCTATTAGAAACCTAAGCCGCAATAATAGCTATTAAAGGCGCAGCCGCCGATAACTATATTAATATTAAAGAGGTGCAGGCAATTTTTAAAGCTTTTTAGCTTTTCTTCTACTAGTAGTATAGCTATACAGCCGTGCTATATACTAATAGCACTACCGCGCTTTAGGGCCTACAGAAGGGCTATATTAAAGGCGCCGCGGACGCACCGCTTAAACAGCTGCTGCTACTTACCGCCGCCCGCGATATTAACCTGCTACCGACATAGCTCTCCTCCGAAAACAACGCACTAGCAGACGCCCTCTCCCGCCTAGATATTAAACGCGTTGCTAACATCTGCCCGCAGTAGAAGAACTTACCGGCCTTAAGCCGCCGCGCAGGTTCCGCAAGCAGACACCCTATTTTAACAACGCGCACCTTAAGCTGCTATAGAACGGCCTAGCAGCAGGCATAAGGCAGTTCTATAAGTCCCTGCAGAATAGCTATAAGCAGATCTGTGCCCTTAATAAGATGCAAGCCTGGCCGGCCTTAGCGGACTTGCTGGCGAGGTGGGTTACTGCACGCCTATTCGGGTTGTCTATATATAAACAACTCCGGCCTAGCTCTATAATAATAGGCCTTTCTGCGCTGCGCTCCGTGCATATTAACCGCAGGCTACCGTTGGAGGTATTTAAAAATAAGCACGTTAAGCGCCTAGTAGACGGCGGGAGAAGGCTATTCCCGCAGCCAGCATCGCGCGCCCGCCACCTAATCTCGAAGGCTATAATTACAGGGCTATCTAGATGCATAGACGCACTAGAGCAGCTAGCCGCTGACAACCTTAACTTCTTAGCCGCGTGCCGGGTAGCTTTTGCCGGCTTCCTTAGGCTTAGCGAGTTTACCTATAAAAAGAAAGATCTTATTAATAAGAGGACCTTTATTAATACCAGGCTTACCCGCAGCAACGTCTGTATAGCGGCCGACTACGCTATGCTCCGCCTTAGCCGCAGTAAAACTAATATAGCCCACAAGGGCGTGCAGATTCTTCTATCACGCATAAGCGACAACGCCTGCCCGGTACGAGCGCTCAAGAGGCTCCTTAGTGTTGATAGCTAGCCACCCTTAGCACCGCTATTCCGCTTCTAGAGGTCGCCCTTCAACCGCACAATATTCCTGCGCCGACTCTTATTGCAGCTTACGCAGCTTGGCGTTAACCTAGAGGGCTACTTAGGCTATAGTTTCTGCAAAGGAGCGGCCTAGCATGCTCACAACGGAGGCGCCCTTAATAGCCAGGTGCAGACGCTTGGCCGCTGGACGTCAGACGCCTTCAGGCTCTACTTTACAACCAACCCAACTATCCTACTCCGGCTCAACCACCAGTTCCTTACCGGAACCCCCCTTCCTTATACCACCCCTTTTTAGCTCCACGGGTTTGGGCACTTGTTTGGGAGGTCTCCTTCGGTGCGTGCGTACAGCTGAGCAACCTCACGGTTTGCATTGAGCGGCTGCGGCTCGTGCGAGGCCTTGGCGGCCTCGCCGATGCGCCCTCAACACCATGAGCTTGCTCTACAGCTGGCTGGCACGGCCTACGGAGGCTTCTGTTGCCCAATCCACACACAGTTCAACATCTGCATGCAGCCGGTGCACTGTGCACGGCCGGCTAGCTTGGCTAGGATAGCCAAACTAGCCGGGCGGCCCCCTCTGCTGAGTGAGAGCGTGGAAATAGATGTAATTTATTATGTTAGTCAAGCAAGCCTAAGCCTGTGGCTGTGCGGAGTCTTGGCAAGCTGGCCCACCTTAGCCCCGCAGCCTTGCGATTCAACTCAACCTTAGTCATGCCTCTGGTCAACCCACTTAACCCTCTAAATTCGCCAATTTACAAGGGCGTGGTCGGAACGGGCCGGCCGCCCTCCATGCTAGCTCACGCAAACTGCAGAGCACGTTGAGCGAAGCTGCGCACCCGAATTGCGCTGAGAAATGAACTGCGGACCCCGGCTAAACGTATCTCCGCTACTAACTGCGTAGGACTCCTACTGTCGCAGCAAGCAGTCTAGGTATTAGCCATCGCCCCTTCGATCTTGACGCAGTCCCTTTACTTCCAACCCAGCTTTTAAAATATTCTTTGTCGCTTTGAAATTCTTGTAGGCTTTAGAGCAGTAGATTGCACTATGTTTTAAGATGTGGATAGCGAGTGTATACTATCACCTCTTACATCTATGGATACGTTACTCTTGCTTCCTAAAGCCTCTAACTTCCATAGCCGTTGAAGCGAAGAGTAATGATCCATACATGCTTGAGTAGTTGGATGATCTGGTCCAAGCTTCTCTTGATAGCCAGCGCAGGCTCTCTGGTAGAGTGGTGATGCATCTTTATACTGCTGCCGCTGGTGTAGCAAGTACGCCAGGCAGTAGACGCTCGTCAGCGTGTCGGGATGCTCTTTCCCCAGCGCCTTCTCGCTCCCCTCCAGCGCTCGTCGGTTCATGTCTTCAGCCTGCTCGTACTTCCCCTGGTATTGCAGCACCAACGCTAGGTTGCTTACGCTCGTTAGCGTGTTGGGATGCTCTTTCCCCAGCGCCTTCTCCCTCCCCTCCAGCGCTCGTCGGTT